TGATAATATTTAGCCACCGGATTTAGAGGACAGAAGTTGACTCATGTGAACCTGGAAAAGCACACACAACATCAATGTAGCTTTGAAGCTCACACAGATCCCCCCACCCCCCTCTTACACAACTCAGCTGAGATAAACACGGAAAATCTCAGACATAGGGACAAATTCTCTTCCGCTGCTGATGATTAGGCACATTTCATCACTTGTTTTGGGGGGTAAGTAACGCAACTCGGCTCACAGTCAGGCTGTTCAGAGGAGGCTGTAGAAGAGCTACTTTAGTTTTTCTGCATTGTGTTGCAATGATAAAGAGTTCATCAACATCACTCTCAGCTAATGTTTAAAATCCCCACCTCACTAGCCGTTTACTCTGAGTTCTCTTATCAGAGATTGTGCTCTCTGTCTACTTTTGTGTTTCTGAACCACACTTTCCTCTGTGATTTTCATGTAATGTTCTAAAATTTTGTGTGAAAACTGCTAATAGTCTGAGATTAAAACTGAATTCATTACAGTGTTCATATCCTCATACCGTCTTTAAGTGTTGCCATGTTTTTTGTGGAATTATAACATGTTTAACATGTCTAACGTAATTAGTGTCCCAAATGTCTCWTGTCACCAGTCTAATCCTTAAATCTCATCCACTTCGTACATCCTGGGTTGTCATGTTGTCTAACCCTTCTAACCGCTCGTTAACAGCCTTGTTTTCTTTCTCTTTTTCTCTTGTGCTGTGTCACCAACCTGACCACGGTCTGTTCGCTCTCTTTGGCATGTTGTTCTCTGAAGGAGAGGAGCTCTTGGGGACAGAAGGGGCCAGGTACATGAAGATGGATGACATGAAAGACCATGATGACGATTTCCTCTCCCCCAAGAAATCAATGGAGTACGAGAGAGGGCTGGGCACAGCGTAAGGGGCTGGGGCGGGGGAGCGGGGGGCAGCAGGGCAGAGAGCAAAGCTAGTAGCTAACAGATGGACTTGTTGGAGGGGAATGCACTGCAGACACACACTAAACACCAGGATGATCACTTGGGAGGAGCTGAGATGTGAAGGAGCTGCTCAAATCTGACTTGGTTTTCTCTCTTTTCGTACAACAGAAATTATTCACCAGCCATTCCCAGGATTCCCCGCGTCTCACCAGAGACTGTGAACCTGAAAGAACATGAGATAGATCAGGTACTGCAGAACCACAGAAATAATCTGAACTAAAATGATTTTGTAATGTATCTAAGTAATGTGGTGAAATAGTCAAAACAAAAGCAGGAAAGATGGTCAGGTTTAACCAGAACCCCTCCTGATCATGAAAATGTCTCAAAAGAGGTCATTTAATGATGTGTTGGTTTCACTTTTAGTGTTTTAATGTAGTTATGTGCATCAAAACTATTCAAGTTGCAGTGCCCAAAGTACAAAGAACAGTTTCTAAACTGCCTGAGATAATAGAGCCAAGACTATTAACTAAACTACTTTAAATTTATGGTTTTGGCTCAAGAAAATTTGTAAAGAGTGAGTCAAGGTCAAGCTTTTAATTCCAGAATGAAGAATAATCTTTCAGGTCCAGGTTGTTGTAGTTAATGGTAATTTGATGCATAGTTATAACATGCCAGGGTGAAACCATCACTGTTATTGCTGTAGAATATTTAACACTTTATGTATCTGATTTATTACCATTCACAATCAAATTAATACTTTAAAACTGGGTACAAAAAGTCACCTTTTTTCACATGCATCCATTTTTTATAACACCCACTTCGGATGTTATCATCCATTGAATGGACATTATTAGCCGTTATCAGTCCCATAGAATGGCTTCAGGCTGCCAGCTGATTAGAATGAGGCATAAAACCACTAAGGTTAATTTTAGAGAAATTGACATGGCCTACGATAAAGTAGACCGGACTCCGGCGGTAGCAGATTGTTGCATTCCAATGTATATGGCACTGGTRACCCACTAGGGGGCACTGTCGGGACAGTCTGAAGCCATTCTGTRGGACTGATAACCGCTAATAACGCCCATTTAATGGAYTGATAACATCTGAACCGGCTGTTTTATAAAGCGTTTTAGACAAATGCTACCCTGTAGGTTTGATTAAACTGTATTTTCAAAGTAATAATAAATTGTCTTTTCTTTCTTGTGCAGCAACACACTCCACTTCCACTGCCCAAAGAGTATGACGAGGACTCATTAATTCCCAGCAGCCCAGCGACTGAGACGTCTGACAATGTCAGCCCAGTCGCCAGTCCCATCCACACTGGGTCAGCACAGAACAGAACATTTATACTCCTCAAGTATCGTTCAAAATGTCAGTTCTCACTTTCTTTTGTCCCAACAACAGGTTCCTGGTCAGTTTCATGGTGGATGCTCGAGGCGGTTCAATGCGAGGCAGCAGGCATAATGGACTGCGTGTCATCATACCTCCACGGACGTGTGCGGCACCCACCCGCATTACCTGCCGCCTGGTAAAGCCGCAGAAGCTGACCAGCCCCCCTCCACTGGTGGAGGGAGAGGGGTTGGCCAGCAGGATTATTTCCCTGGGTCCAGCTGGAATGCAGTTCCTGGGGTGAGTCAACGACTGTGCTGTTCGATGGGATTTTCATCTTTAAATTGAATTGTTTGACTACCATAACGGTGATTAGTGTGTCCAAAATGTAACAACTTCTTTCCATGTTTTTTAAGCATTAAACTCTGCAGGCTCTTTTTGCACGTTATTCACCTTATACTTAGCCCCCATGATGCCTTGCGTGAATCATGGGCAGCCCTCTACAAAAATAAGGGTACACTGTCAGGACTATGATCTAAAATTTAAAGTAAGAGAAAATTAAACTGCCTCTGGAGTTATTCTTAAACACATCTGTCATGAAACTATAATATTTTTAGTTTATGCTGGCCTTGTTGCATTTTAACTGCAGATAAAATCTTTAATATGAACGAATAACGCTGTGTTCGTCATACACTTGAAATGATAACTGATAACTGAGGATCCGGCATCTCTTCTCAGATGGTTTGACGTAACCGAGCCACAAAACTGATGCGAGTTTTCCTCCACCAGCCATTTGTAAATAAAGTGAAATRAGCAAACTAACAGCATTTTAGTGTTTGCTTCAGGTTACTTTTTTTTTTCAGCCACATTCTTCTAGAATCCTCAAAGGTAGGTGATAGAAACTACCACTTTTCCCAGAACACGTTTTGGGTCCGTGGTCAAAACGCTGTCATTGCCAATGACTCTGTTTAGTCTGGTTGTTTGTGCAGCTGCCAACAGCACAACTGGTTCCTGAACATTTTGTAAACTTTACTACAATTGTTAAATGTCAACAAAAACAGAGTTTGTTCTGATAATCTGAACACAAATTCCTTTAAAATAAACAGGGTTTCCTGCTCTGCTACCTTGGCTTGCCAAGGCTTTCTGCTACTTTTGGTGTTTCTGACAGGAAGTCGTATCCATAATCATTTCTACAGTAGCACCTCCAGAAATAAGGTGGATATTATGTGATATTTTTTTTCTGTGCTTCTCTCTTTGTGTGGCAGACCAGTGATTGTAGAGATCCCCCACTTTGCAGCTCTGGGGCGGGGTGACCGGGAGCTTGTTGTGCTGAGGAGTGAGAATGGCTCAGTCTGGAAAGAACACCGCAATCGTTACGGTGATGAGGTCTTAGAAACAATCTTAAACGGGATGGATGAAGGTAAGAGCCTAAATGCATAATTTGAAACCACTGTCTACAGATCTTACAGTTTGGCTTCAAATGTTGAAAAACCCACTTCTTTGTGCAGAACTGGAGAGTCAGGAGGAACTTGGGAAGAAGCGAATCCGACGCATCATCTCTACCGACTTTCCCCTTTATTTTGCCGTGGTGTCAAGAGTTCAACAGGAAAGTGATCTGATTGGTCCAGAGGGAGGTTCGCTGACAAGCAAGCTGGTGCCGATGGTCCAGGCTACGTTTCCTGAGACAGCAGTTACCAAACGAGTCCGTCTGGGGCTGCAGGTGAGATGGGACGATAAGGAGGAGGACGAAGAAGAAGGAGAGAATCTTTAATGCCTGCGTTGCCTGAAAAGAAGCATGCTGAATTTATTTTTGATTGATTGTGGAATGATCCAATCATATCAGCACATGTGCCAAGTTTATCTTCTGTTGCTTTTAGAGGTTTTAGAGGAGCTTTTGCTTTTATTTCTCATACTGCATGCACCTTTCACCTTTGTACAATTGTGGTCTGCTCATTTAGTGCTGCGTTGTTGTTTGTTTTGTTCTTTTTTATTTTTTACCTTTTTGTGCCTTTCTTACTAATGTATTTATGTCACTGACAAAGCCTGTGCATTTTTATTTAACCATTTGCCTAAGAAATTAGTAATATTCATTTTGGGTTTTTTGCATCCAGGAACGACTGTGTGAGTTTGCATGTACAGTACGTTTTAAAGATGTGAAAGTGCTACAAATGTCTTCATTTTAAAAAGGACCTGATCTGCAAACTTTTCTAATATTAGTGTTATTGTCATATACATACATTATGTTTTACTGGAGGAACTTTTCGTGGCAAATTTTCTCACACAAACACACCAAAGACATTTAGATAAACTATATTTTTTAAACATTTTATCACCTGTGAAAATCCCACATCTTTCTTTACACAAACATCCATTTAAAATTTTGCTTCCCCAACATTTCACTTTAGGAGGAAATATTATGCAACTGTAAAAGTAAAAAGTTTTATTTTGGAACTACATGTGTTTACACTGCAATATCCAGCCTTAAATTGATTTTATACTGACCCTGTGATATGTTCCTTGGATACGAAATGACAGTTTTTAATCCTTTTTAATGGTTTAGAAATCTTTAACGTCATAAAGTTCTAATTACTTTTATTTAAAGATAGATAAATTGTTTTTGACATATAGTTCTGTGAAAAGAGTAAAAGTCAATCATATATTACTTGTAGAGTTTAATTCTGACAAGCTAACGGTCAGCCCGAGTGTGGCCAAGACCAGGAGGATTGCTGCCATTGAAAACAACCCAAATGGTAAAAATGTCATAACTGTTTTAAAAACCTTTCATAACCTCATCAGTTTTTTTTGTTAAACAATTATTTACATAGATKTCTACGTTAATTTTGGCAATTAGCAGTGGCAACTGTAGCGTGTAGCTGTGGCAGGAATAAAATTGCATTTCAGCATTTTTGCATAGATATATTTTTGTATATATTGGGAATTATTTGTTGAATACGTATTTACAATTTAGTGTTTCCATAAACCACCTTTTTTTTATAAACTGGTGTTTTATGACAGCAGCAATCCACTTCACTCTTGATCTCATTCCAGTTACCGGTTTATCAGCTGATTAATTTGCTCAGAATGAAATTTTTTGTTTCTAAACTGAGATTATTCAAAGCTCTATCTGCAAAAGATAAGATGTTAACTCTTTATAATCTATCGACAGAGCATCTCTTTACATCCCAACCTTGTGAAACTTTAAAGTTACTGCTGGGTAGACTTTCTTTATCCGACCTGATCTGAAGCACCCTAACAATTATTTCATTACTTTGTTAATTAATTAATTAATTAATTTCTAATCTTAACAAAATTATTGACCCAACTTCCTTCATCAATACATTGTTTAAAGTTTTTGGACCAGATAGAAACTTCTTATTTTAACACTGGATTATTTTTAGTTGACCAAAAAGACTAGCGCATATAGAATAAATTATTTACTGTATGTTTTGGTCGTTCATAATAAATCTGAGTAAACCTAAATTTTTAATAGTAACTATTTTAACTACCATGCTGTAACAKCTAAGCTAAAAAGTAAATGTAACAGAATACAAACTAATACTTGTATTCAGTTTGTATTCCCTTTAAAAACGTACTATTTTCTTATGTATTTAACATAGATGTTGTATTGAACATGTCAAGAATGGGCCTGTTAAACTACAGTACCTTATTACTTGATATCCCTTTTGTATCAATGATTGTAAAAGCTTCTTGTTAATGCACAGTTAYAATAAAAACAAATTTATAAACCAATACAAGCTGTTTGTGTTGCTGTTGTCTTTCAAACTGTAACGTATTTTTTCTTCATTTTTAATTATTCCTGGTTTGGCCTTCCCTGTGTTTCCCTTTTTGTTTATTGTTTTCCCATTTTCATTCTCCCTTCTGTCCGTTTATCCCAACCTGTGCCCCTTGTTGCATTCTCTCCATCATTTGCCTTGAACCTCAGGCTCAGCCAGTTCCAGACGAGCTGGTTGCAAAGCTGCTGGGTAACCAGGCAAACTTTAGTCCCGTAGTGACTGTAGAACCGCGACGGCGCAAGTTTCACCGACCCATCGGCCTGCGAATACCCCTGCCCCCATCCTGGAGGGACAGTCCGCGAGACTCGGGGGAGGGCGACACCACCAGTCTGCGTCTGCTCTGCTCTGTCATAGGTACTGCTGCAAACCTCAGGCAGGATGTGTGTGTGTGTGTGTGTGTGTGTGTGTGTGAGGGTTGGGGGCGTGGTAGGTGATGCATCAACATTTGTCAGACGTAATCGGTGATTTAAATGAATCAGAGATGTCTGCCATCATCAGACTTCCTTTCATTGACCCATTCCCATCCTGTGTGACTGCCAGGTGGGACAGCCTCAGCCCAGTGGGAGGACATCACAGGAACTACCAAGCTTATCTATGCCAACGACTGTGCCAGCTTCACAACCAACGTTTCTGCGCGGCAAGTTCAGCTGCCAATGTTTGAAACTGATCAACACTCTCTGCGCTACAGAACAGAACTCACTAAAGATTTCAAGTGATAAAAAGTTTCAAGGCAGTGCTGCACGATGCAATTGCAACATTATTATATTTATCAATAAGCTCACGTTTACAAGTGTAACATCCATCTGATGGGCAGAATATGAACAAACCTTGAACGCAGTAGCCTGCTATGTTTTGCACTTCAAGAAGCCATTTCAGATACTGATATTGCGTCGACGACAGTTGATAACTTGAAGGTCAATTTGAATTCCGTGTGGTTTTTCTTCTCAGATTCTGGCTGGCGGACTGCCCTCGGACAGCCGAGGCCGTCTCCTTCGCCAGCCTGCTCTACAAAGAGCTGTCGGCTGTCCCCTACATGGCCAAGTTTGTGGTGTTTGCAAAGATGAACGAGCTGCGTGAGGGCCGTCTGCGATGCTACTGCATGACCGACGATAAGATGGATAAGACTCTGGAACAACACGAGAACTTCACAGAGGTGGCTCGCAGTCGAGACATAGAGGTCAGTTATAGGATTGTTTCGTCCAAACGCTTCAGAAACATTGCTTGATGCTTGCTGAGAACATGGATAAGGAGCACATGATTTGCTTCAGGAGTGTCAAACTCATTTTCATCAAGGGCCACATGAAGACTGTGGTGACCCTCAAAGGGCCAGTTGTAATTAAGTTTGATGTTTCGATGTTCCTTGTCGTATTGCTATGACTGAACACTGCTAACAAACAACAATTGAGCTCTATGTGGTATTTTGTACATAGAAACATTAACACATCCTCACTGATGTACAAATGACAAAATGTGGAATTAATACCACAGAAATACTATTAAAAGTAAAAGTAAGATTGTTTTACTGACTGAGTTGTGGTGAGTAGAATCATAAATTCTGAAATCTCTCACTTTCCCATTGGAGGGGTGTTCAAGTTTGAATTTACAACTTGTATGTGGCCAATTCTCACTTCCCAGTGTAACTGATTTGCATCAAAATTTGGGGAAAAAAAGAAAATTTTACACGGCAAATTGTGCCAAATGCTACTTTTGAACCCTGTGCACCTCCACCTAGTGGTGGGATTCTATCATTTCTCTGGTAAAATAACCAATGTGCATTATGGGAGATGTAGTTTATGGTCAATGCTGCAAGCAGCATACGCTTATTTTRMGACAAAATGCATCTTTGAATATCTCACAGGACAAAYAAAATTCTGTAGCAGGCCACATTTGGCACGTGGGCCTTGAGTTTGACACACGTTCTAGATGGATGAATTATGAAATCTCTTACAGGTGATGGAGGGAATGCCTCTTCATCTGGAGTGTTCGGGGAATCTAGTGCCAGTGAGGAAGGCCACACAGCAGCCGCGCTGCTTTAGTTTCCAGGCTTTCAGGGATAACAGACTTCCTGTCTCTGTTAAGGTGTTAGCATTTCACTTTTATAATTTCTGTTGTCCACGCTTACATCAGCCACGCTTTTTTATAACCGTTTATCTGTGCTTCTAAGGTGAGGGACAGCACTAAAGAACCCACCGGATTTTTATCTTTTCTACGTAAATCCACCAAATATGAGGACAGCCAACAAGTGCTCTGTAACCTCAACATCACTATGCCTCCATGTATCAAGGTAAAGCTGTTAACGTTGGTTGTTACATAAAGGCAATGCAATTACAGTCATTGTCGTTGAAGATGACATTGCTTTTGTTTGCTTACATTAGCAGATGGTTGGTAGTGAAGACCGGAGGAGAACTCTGACTCCTCTAGCTTTACGAGAGAGATACAGTGCTCTAAATGAACCTGCTATGGGTATGAGGCTTGTGTTCTCACACTTAGCACAGAGATTTATTTACATGCTTATACTTTTACTATCTAAGGCTGAGACAGACCGTTTTTGTTAGACTGTGTTGAGTAATATATTTACAGTGCATACAGCTTTAATCAGTGCCACCAACCTTTTGTTTAACAAAGTCAGATGTTTCAGTTCTGCGTTGCTTTCTGCAGCGTCCATGAGTGCCATGGAAAGGACGGAGCTGAAGATGGCTGTGATTGCAGAACAGCTGGGACTGAGCTGGGCTGGTGAGTAAATAGTGGGAGAACGCTGAGTTGTTTATGTGAACCGTTCATGTTTCTCTTATGTCTGACAAGCAGGTTTGGCACCGTTTTACAGATTAACCAAAGTTGTAATGTTGTTCCTGGTTAATTAAACTAATTATACACTGCCTCCCTGCAAACAGTTATAAAAGCTTTACATAGCCGTCTTTCTTTTTCTTTTTAATCATTGTGATGAACTGTAGCACATTCAGGACTCTTTCAATGTTTAACCCAAGAAGTAACAGTGGTAAATGAGCTCCCAAATCTTTGGTTGAACTATTCAAACTTTGAGTAAAGCTTTCTTTTACGGTACCCTTATTACCATGTTATTACAAGGTAATAAACAAATGTAATTAAATGTAATTACTACTTTATTACCATGTAATTACGTGGTAATAATGGTATAAAACCAAAACTACTGTTAGTAAAACTACCTTTATTGGGTAACTACAATCAAATTACTATTCAATAGTAACTCAACATTATATTTATAACCAAACAAATGCAACTAAATTTTGGGGTTAGTGGTTAATTGCAATAAAATATAACTTTAAAACTGTCCAAATTACCTACTACTTATTTAGGTGTTACATAGTGAATTGTAATACRTTACCAGGTAAGTGCTACATTACTGCAGACAATTAATTATATGGTAAAACTGTACCCTAAGTACCACGTAATTACATGTAATAAGGTAGTAATTACATTTTATTACATTTTTATTACCTTGTAATTACATGGTAATAAGGGTACCGTAAAAGAAAGCATTACCAAACTTTGTTAACAACGACGCAGTCTTAGCAAACATTACATTATTCTAGTCCATATATATTCACCCTTTTTAACTCTTAAAATAATTTTGGAAAAAATGTGCTGTTCACAGTATTTTTAAAATTTCATATAACATCTGAAAAATGTCTCAAGAAGTTTCCACTGCTTTACCAATGTCCTGTTTTTCATTCTTCAGAGTTGGCACGTGAGCTTCAGCTCAGCGTGGATGATATCAACAGAATTCGTGTCGAGAATCCAAACTCCCTCCTCGAACAGAGCTCTGCGCTGCTCAACTTGTGGGCCACTCGTGAGGGTAAAAGGGCCAAGAGTGAGTGAAGGAAATCTGAGTTTATGGTGGATTTCTCTCATATGCCACTTTATTTATTTTTTCATCTTATGCATCTTTTATTTGTATTGCCCGCTGCCGTAGGCTAACAGGCAATCCTGTTTTTACCCATGTTTGTGTGTTTGCGTGTGTGCTTGTCTGTACAGTTCAAATACTGTATATTGTGAATCACTGATTTAATAAAACTTTCATGGAGGAAAAATCTTTAGGTTGACGTTTACTACTGACAAACGTTTGAACTCAACGCAATTCAAGATGTCTACCACATCCAACTGACTTTAGAGAACTTTAACTCAGCAGATACTGAGACAATAATCTCTAGTTAGAATTAGTAGCTGAGCATTGTTGCAACTGTGCAACATAGTTGCTTAAACATTTCGCATTAACAGCTGAGGTCAGTCCTGTTTGACTGTTAGAACAATTGCTCAGAAACCAATGGACAGGTTTTAATAAATATACAATTAATAGAATTATTAATATATAATTAATATATACAACAGTAAACCCAGAATAATATGCCCTTCTACAGCTAAGTGACCCTCTCTAGACAAATGCCTCAATTTACATTAGATCAAAATTTAGTGTGATAACAGCAGTCATCTTCAACACACGCTCCAAATTTCAACAGATCATATCTGATCCTGTGAGATGTTGCAAAAGATTGAGTACAATGTTATTTTCCAGATTTGTTCAAAAGGGCTTATTTCTCAAAATAAGAAGATAATTTAAAACTGTGGCATGAAACTGTGGCAGGCGATCTGCATTCCTTCAAGGAATGCTCTGTTTTTAATGTTTTCTAATTAGCTATTTCTGTTGGAAAATCTGTCCGCTTCATCTACCGGTATTTTGTCTTGTCTGGTTGAGTCTTTTCTTCATGTTGTTTTCTTTACAGTGGAGAGTTTATACACGGCCCTGAAGAACATTGACCGTCTGGACATCATCAGCATGTTGGAGGGCCAGCCCCCTCAGCCGCTGAGACAAGGCTCCCGTGATCTAAGCAGACGCCGACACAGTGACAGAGACCACCTCTCTCCTGGTATGACTAACGGTAAGCCCACCACCCCCACATTTCAMGGTGCATCCCATCCCAACCGTCCCTTCTGCCTTGACCCAAAGCTCCTCTTCCAATAAACATGCAGCGGTGCTAAAAGTTTGTGAATTTTYACTTTTCTGTTTTTCTGACGTAAAACTATGTGCTGTTGTACTGCACTTCTGATCATGTATTCCAGTTGCTATTCTTTTTGAACAAGGCTATCCAGTATTTTTTATCTACTTTTATCAGATCTTCCTGTTGGGCTATCAGGTGTTCAGACCTAAAAGTCAACAATGAACTAAATTATGTTCAATAAAAAGATGATCTAATGTTTTTGAGAGGTAAAAGTAATTAAACCTTTGCTTTCTTTAGCTGTTGTGCAGTAGTTCCTGCAACCAGATAATGGTTGCTGAGCTCTGCACATCAGGAAGGAGGAGTTCAAGTCCATTCTTCTGTGCAAAACAACTAAASTTTGGCATACTAATGAAACTACCTCTTCACAGCGCTGTGCACACTACTKTTTTGTCAACCTTTATCCATTTCTTCTTAATTAAGAACACTTGATTAAAATTCATGATTTCATTTTAAAGTTTTGTGCAAAATTTCAAGGTTAATGTACTTCTGCCTCTCACAGACAGTCATCCACAAAAAAAGGTATTTTTTTAGCTATTTTGTTAATTCAAGTTAGCCATTGTTTTCATATTTCTACACAAACTTGAAAATTTCTAACACATTCACAAACTYTAAGGCACCACTGTGCTTCCTTATTTCCTAAGAATCCCTTGAAGACAAAATCGTGTTTGTATCCATGTGAATCATCTCTGTTTTCTTCATRACTTTGTTTTTATTTTTTAATATTATTTTTCCCATTTGGGGGAAGCTGCCACAAACGTTCGGTTTTTGCAGGATTTTACCTCGGCACATGCAGCGGGACTCAGGACACTCCTACTGCCTTTGGTTATACGTTTACTTTTTGGTTTAATATGGTGGTTAAAGATGCAGTATGTCCAGAAAAGACTGACATTATTTGGTGAAAGATTACATGGCAAAGGACTAAAAACCTAGGTTTTTATTTTTTATTTTTTTGGTCATAGTTTAGTATTTAAATTTTTTTGACAATTTCTTAAGATATAATCGACTTAATTGTAGTAAGCAGTCAAGCATTGTGTGTGTATTTTAATTGTTAAATAAACTTAAATTTAATTAGATTAAAAAATAAAAATTCTCTCACTGTAAGTATATTTTGAATATCTTGCACTTTGAGCAAATGTTAGTCCTCAGCCCCTTTGTCTTCCTGGTTTCCTTTACTCACACATGTTTCACGTCACAATGACTCCATTTTCACCTCTGGACCCAGCTGAGCTCCTCTTCTCAGTGCAGACAGTGAGTCAGTCAGACAGGTGACACGTTCTCCTGGTGAAAACTGGAGAAACAGTCAGCGATGTAACTGTGCATACAGATGTGATCAGAATAATGAAAGAGGAGACATTCAGGTCAGAGCTGCAGTGAACCTGATCAGTGTTTCTGTAAARGATGTTCCTGCTTTCACAGAGTGACTATAAAAAAACCTGCATATTGATTCATCTGATCACACATGCACTCATCACATGAATCAGGAGCTTTAGCAGATTTATCTCAGCATGTTCTGGAAGCTGCAAATGAAACATGCATTATGTAAGCAGGGTAAATGAATTGATTTATCCTTAAAACACTAATATTCTTGTCACCTGCTGAAAAGGTTGATTGTTTTAGTCAGTCTTTTGTCTTAGATTTATTCTATAAAAAAAAATTTTCACCCATCGCCACCACAGAAGAAGACATCATGGAGATGTTAGGTTGTTTTAGTGTTTCTTTTCTCATTGGTTATTATATTATTTTAAACAATTTATTTTAAGGAAAATTCTCTGATTTGCAGTCTTCCTAAAGTTTATGGTTATATCGGTATATTTGTCCCATGAAGAAGCCAGAGTTAGTTTATCTTATCTTAGCACATGCGTCAAATTCAAGGCCCATGGGCCAAATGTGGCCTGCGGGTGACTTCCATCCGGCCCACCAAAAGGGCCCCACCCCATAACGCTCATGTGGACCTGAGTGAAAACAAATTTTACACCCCTGAGTTAGCATTAGAAACAGAGTCATTTGGAAAATATTATTGCAGTATAAGCTTTGACTGAGCAGTATTTATACTTTCAATCATAAATTCTTGAGATTTAGAGGTAGCCATAAAAATAGTCTGAACAATAGTTTTCAGGGCAACTTTCCCCATAAATTGTCAGACTTTGAGCTGAATAAATCTCATAGAGATTATATAAATATAGTCAACCTAAAGAAGATCAGCTGGTTGATAAATACTATGCTATCATAAGAGTGGTCTCAGTCTGTTCCCAAAGGTCAGGGCCCATCTTCATACAAAAGGTTCTCAAAAAAATAATCTTAAATCAGATTTCCACCTCTAAAATTTGCTCCAGCAACATTCAAGAAAAACTAAAAGATTAAGGCATCTTTTTAATTTTTTGCTGACTTTTGTAAGAGGGCATTTAAATCCTTTCTGCCTGTGGTTGCATGTGTTGTAGTTTGAATCTCCTTAGAGTTAATGTTGGTGCATTGAATGTGTATTTGGTAGCTGTGTTTTCATTCCCTGTGAAACTGTCCCTCTCTGTGTTCATCTGCAGCCTAGCCGCCCTACTCTTCCTCCTTCTCACTCCTCTCCGAACTCTGACCTCATGCCGATCTCATGCTGACCTCTGACCCACATCTTAAGCTTTTTTTTCTTTTTCTTTTTTCCTCTGCGACTGGTGCATTTCCCTTATTCTTCATTTTTACTCTTGAAAACCCCATCTTTTTTCCTGTCTGTTCTGTGACAGAAACCTCTCACACAGACTGTTTTCAGCACCCACTGAGGGAGGGGGAGGGAGCGGTGACCCTCATTTACTCTCTCTTTTTCTCCTATCATCTCTGTGTTCATCGCCTCTTTCTCTCTTGCTGTCCTTTTCTTTACCCTGCTCCGTCTTTTCCCATCCCTTTTTTTCCCCGTTCCCCTCCTGCATGACTGCATGTGCACCAGACGTCTGCTGCTCGTGTCCCTCTGTGTTTGCATGGAGGCACTGGGAAGGCGAGCAGCTGTGCATGTTGGATAGAAAAAAGTGCTTCAAACTCAACACTGAAGCTGCTTGACTCAAAGATGTGTCTTTGCACGGCATGCACACAGAAAATGACTCTGCAGCCTGTCTCTATTACTCCTTAGGGAAGCAGAAGGGCGCTTAAAAAAAAGGCCACTAACCTTTTTTTGTTAACTTTGACTTGTGTCTGCCTGGTTCATGTATGAACTTTGTGGTTATTTATGTGTCAGTTTGTCCCTCCCTCTATTATGAACCTTTTAAATGTGAAGTGTTGCGTCGTTCTGTGTGAGTGCAGTGTGGGTGTCTTACCTTGTGAAATATAAGTGTTGGCACATGTGTACCCATGTGTGTGCAGGCAAAAAGACCACATTTCCTTTACATGTATTTATTTCACTGCTTCCTTTCAGCTTTTGTCTTTTAGTCAAGAGGTCACGCTATGAAATCTTTCATTTTTCACTCTTTTCTTCCTTTCTATCTCCTCTAAACAACTTTCTTTAAAAGGCTGCAGTAGCTCGATGGGCAGGGTCAAGCCAGTTTGCATCAGGAAGTGTATCCGGACTAAAACAATTACCCAATCTTTCAGGTTCATTTGCTGTGCCAACCCCTGCAGAAGGGAGCAGCTGAAAGGGGAAAAAAGGTATCTTAAAGGGATCCCCGATTAGTTGTAACATTAGACTTTATATGATAAACACATGCTTTAACTGTAAAATAAAGACTGTAAAAATACTGTGGGATGTTCAGTTGTTATAATTTTTAAACCAAAACTTTAAAAATATATTACATGGATTAGCCTGTTAACTTTAGCGTTAGCCCCGATTCTATCACCATATATATGTATTAGCTCAGCGCTACACATTCTCCTCTCATCACTGATGTCCTCCATCCACTTGACAGAGAGAGGAAAGCAAAAATGACTCAGCCTGCAACTGAAAATATGGATGGAGGACCTCAGTTTAGCCTTTTTGTCGCACTAGCACAGAGCTAATACATAAAAGGCAATATAGCGTGAGGGCTAGCACGAAGGCTAACAGGTTAAGCTGAGGTTCTTCTTCCATGAAGCAGCTCTGTTGTCCTCCATCTATATTTTCAGTTACAGGCTGAGTCATTTCTACCTTCTCCTCTCTGTCAACGCTCTCTGGTTTCATTTAAAAGAGTCGATCATCAGATATTGTCCAAGATTAACCTTCAGGGTGGATATAGCTCGCTAGCAGCCTCATGCCAATGACCTAGTTGATGTCATCATTTACCCAGAATGCTTCGCGTGTAAATAAAATGGCTCCGTCTGTGTTAAAATATATTTTTTACAAATTACAAACTAAACAGCCTACAGTATTTTTACAGTTTTTATTTTACAGTTAAAATAAATGTTTATCAAATAAAGTTTAATTTTACAACTAATTGTGGATCCCTTTAAAGATAAATTTGTTGTGTATACTTCTAAAAATGTTCCAAAATGTGCTTTTTTGAACTTAAAATTTTTTAGAATATTGTCTTTATTTTTATTTCAACATCAAACATCCTCAGTCACATTTTATATGCAGCCTATCCTTAAAGTTATGGTTCAGATCTTTTGGAGTAGGGTTCTGTGTAAAGAGTTATTAAAAAAAAACTCAAAATTTATCAGTGACCACTCTACAACAAAGCAGTTCAGACACAACACAAATGTGAACGATTGTCTGTATTTTTTGTTTGACGTTAGCTGAGAAAGTAGGACAAGGGGTCTTTTTTTGCAGCTTGGTGTCTCAAATATCTCCTGCTCCCTCAGCAGTAGCCTACAGCCAGCTATGAATCCAGTTACACCCGGTGCTTTTGCACAGTAACCTCACCACTATCCAGTGCACACGTACAGTTTGTCTCACTGCTGTGTGACCTCCACCAAATCGCTGTTTCAGACTCAGGTTATTACAGTTTATGTTAATGTATCCTGCTGTGTAGTCATGATGCCACTTACACTTCGTTTTTCCTCAATTTTCATTTAGCAGAAAATCAAAGTCTAATCAGATGTGTCAGACATTTTATTGTACTAATTTTAAAGTAAAAAGGCACCCTTAGTCACTTTAAAATGTGCATTTTACTATGATTCTATGGTTTTGTTACTTCGTTAATACTACAATAATGCCCCCTGTAGGAGTGACCTGAGTCCATGTCGCACTGACGTCTTTTTCCTTGAATAAAATCCAAGTTTGTGTTGGAGGCAGCAATCATGTGGATATTGCAAAGTCTTTTGTGAGTGTTCTTACATGAATAATGGCAATACAACAGTGTGTTCAGTGTATTATAATAAATCACTGTGTTGGTAAGAAACTGAGCAGATGAGAGTGGAGTGGGATGAAGTGTGGGTGGATGTGTGTGCGTGGGCACGTGTGCAAACTTGAGGAGAAAATGAGATTGCCTGCGTGCATGCTGTCCAGCCTGATAACAATAATAACCTGCCTGTCTCTGAGAGGGTTTGAACGCATGCATCAGTGAGTAGGTTTGTGTGTGTTGGACTGAGTGTGTGTGTCCCTGCTGGACAGGTATCAGTAACCTGCAGGTGGCAGCCAGCAGAGCAGCATCAGTCGTTGCTGGGTTTGGACCGCAGTTCCTCGGTCCGTCCGGCTGTGTCTGCTGCTGCTTGCACCATCAACATGGGCTGATTGAGCTTGAAATCCCTTCTTCTGAAAGCTGTTCTTGCTCTCTAAGCTAGTTGCACCTTTATTTCAGTTCCTATTGTCTTGACCCTGTTCCCCCTCTTTCCATCCCTATTCCCTCCCATTTGTCCCTTCAGCCTCCTCTACTCCCCCCACCTAGAAGCCCAGTTCCTGGGCAGGGGTACTTACACCCTTCCAGGGTACCAATGCTGTGGGGGTGAGGTAGGGAACGAGGTGGGGGGGCCGGGTGTCAGTGTGCCTCTCTCTGTCTCGCTTCAGGTTATGGGCTTGCGCAGGAAGAACTCCTCTCACCAGCCTCCATGCAGTACAGCCTGCCCTCCCCTCTGGGTGCTGAGCCCTACTGGCAGGAAGTCTCCAGTCTGGACTGTGCACCCATCGCCACCACAGAAGAAGACACCCTTATGGAGATGTCCGATGTGCAGGTGTGGCCCTCAGGCAACAGTCCTTCTTTGGTGACAGTGGAGGACTCCTCACTGGAGTGCAGCAATGCTGAGGACTCCGAGCRTCTGCTGGGGCTGCCTTATGGAAGTCTGGGCCGGCCGGCCAGTCAGGCCAGCGCAGCCAGTGGAGGGGGTGGGGTGCTGAGCGGCTCCATTGAGCTGCCGGAAGACGATTCCGAGGTGGGCGTTGACTCTATCAGCACCACCACACCAGCCTCCCTCGGGGGCACCATCGCTGGGATCAATCTGAACGGGATGAACAATGGTCAGGGGTCAGAGGCGAGCTCAGAGGCGTCCGCCGTCATGAGTATGACAGGTGGAGATGGAGCGGGAGGAGAAGGAGGACGAGAAGGTGGAACGGGCTCAGAGGAAGGACCTTCTCTTGTTGCAGGACAACAAAGGCTGTATGCTCGGCTGAGTGAGTCAACTGGTCTGAGCTGTGGTCCAGARCGAAATGGCGACAGGTTGGTAAAACCTCTGTTTGCATTCCAGTTTGTGCAAAGTCTCAGKAAAACATAAAGAACCCTAACTGGCGTGTCAGTTGTAACTCAATAAAGAAGCAGTGACCACCAAGAGATTCTGATAATCCTTTTGTTAGTACATGTTCTACCTCTTTATTTGTCCACTGATCTCCTTTCAGGTCAGGTAACGGTCAAAAYGGAGGTGGTGGAGGCTCTTTTCTTTCCTACCTGCAGGAACAGACAGGGCCAGGCTGGATCCCTGTCACTGACCCAACTCAGACTTGGGTTGGTAACCAGTCTAAGCCCAGGCAGGCCGTAGAGACCATGATTTCATCGGTACGAAATGCTGTGGATGGAGACCAGGCCCGCATGGCCCAGGAGGCCTTGCTTCAACCTGTGAGGGACATGGGGCACTCTGAGATTTTACGGGGGCACTTCAGAGGGACCCAGCCGTTTGAGAAGGGTTTGGGATTTCCACACAGGGTGCCAGAGCTGAGAGCTTGGGATGATGTGCGCCTGAAGGGCCAGGTGAGTGGGTTGCGTTTTCTRCCAAAACTAAATTCAGTAAAGTAGGACTTTTCTTCTTCTGCTGATGAATATTGAATCTCTTAACCAAGTGTGATGGAATCACAAAAACTGTAGCCCAAACACCATAGCTTCATTTCTGCTCGACAACTTCCTAATTTTGCAGGTGGTTTTTGATGATGTAGGGAAATATCCTACCAAAAAACACATTGAACGCCACATTATTTTACTTCAAGATTCTCTGAGAGAYTTGCTTTCTAGTGCGTGGGTTAAAAGCAGCATGATGGTTTCATCAGTCTGTACTGAGGCTGGATGTTCACACTCAGTCCTGTTTTATACAACTTCCTGTTGTTCCTCCAAATCTAGTAATTTTTTCTCAGAAAGTAACTATTACCAGAAATATGTCTGCCAACATAAAGTTTGAAATAGTCAAACACCATYTGTTCTTGCTGTTGATTATTGGATAGATCAGGGGTCTCCAACCAGTAGCTCCTGAGCTCATTTAAAGTAGCTCTTCAATGCTTATGAAAAATTAGGAGAAGCAAAATTTTATTTGTCACTGGCCAAACAAAATTTCGTTTCATTCCAATCAATCTATAGATGTCCCATCCCCTTGKTTGTCAATCAAACAGYTTAGGGCTCAGTATGGTTGATCGGCAGACGACGAGTGGTTACGTGGTTGTTCTGTGTTCATTTTCACACACACCTTTCATAGCCACTTGAGACACACCATGCCAAACTCCTGKGAAACCCCTCACACTGCGGTATATGTCACTACAAGAGGTTTCTTCCTGCTGGAGYCCACAATGTGAAAAAAAAAWTCTGAGAYYMRTTRCCCAACATTATTTGTGCACAAATCTGTTGCAGTTAAACCCTAAGTTATTAGTGTGAAATACCTTTAATATGAATGGATAAACGCAAAAAGCACATTCATGTAAATTCACTGTTATTCGTGGTGGTTTTATGTGAATGAAGACAATGTTTTTTGTGCAAAACAAGCTTAATGTAATGGTTTAAGATTAAGTTTAAAATTAAATATTGCAAAAAGTAGCTCTCGGACAATTTCATTTTGTGACAGTAGCTCTTAAAGAAAAAAAGGGTGGAGACCCCTGGGATAGATTAATGCACAAGACTATACCAATGTCATGAGTGAAATCATACTCCTTCCAAGAGAAAATGAGTCCTGTTATTTTACGGCTCTTTTGCCCAAGCAAAGTTTGTGAGCTGGTTTAGCACATCAAGTTTAATTTTGCAGTTGATTTAAATAAGACAAAAAAATGGGGAAAACGAATGCATTTTGGGACATTTGTTACCTTCTTCTCCAATAACTTACATCATAAAACYAGACCTAACATTTAAATCAGATTTAAACTGTGCATGATCATTTCTCAAGCTATACAAAACACTAAACCCCACAGAAACAAGCATACACACAGCTCCTCATGCCCAAGATGGGCATAAACATCATGTACAGCCAAATTTAGAAAGCATTCTTTCCTGCTCATGTTACACGATCCCCACCCCGGTCATCTACATGTGCTGATTTTCAGGCACAAGACAGACCAATGRCACGGCACAGGACAGTCCCAACCATGAAACTCCTTCAAGACAAATAAAAAGATAAATGATTTTAGGACCTTTATGGGTTTAAAACTGTATGTTGTAAGCATGATCAAAGAGCACATTGTGACTCAACTAATTCCCTGAATTATTAAGTGTTTAGCAGCCTGATTAGGGTTTTAGAAAATATACCCATTTGGCTGTTTGYACCACGAGGAAAGAGTTATTTTGAATTTACAGTATGAAATGAAAATAACTGGTGTCCTGCCACAACATGTAAAGCCACACAGGAGAAGCTATTTAAAACCCACAGATCACATGGGCAGAAAGAGAGAGAGAGGTGTAAATAGAAGCCTTTTTTCACTCTGATGTCTGTGGCTGGGTACTGACCAGACAGTCAGAAGGAGAAAGGCAGGACCTGGTCAGAAGGGCCCACCGCCCCAGCTAATGGAGGACAAATATGGTCTGAATGACAAAACACCAGTTTGATTGAAACCGTGGTTAAAAAAAGAAAAAGGGCAGAGGACCGTGTGGGAAGTTACTGAAGGCCGACAGGCTGAAGCTGCACTTTTAGATTTGCTTGGGATTCAATTGGGGCAATGTGGGCCCTGGTGACTGAGCTCCTCTTCAGCTTTGTGCTGCTGGCTTTCCTGGTGATCAGCTGCCAGAACGTCCTCCACATAGCCAGCGGCTCCGTGCGCACCGTGCTCACTTACATCCACACCCAGCTGGACCACGAGCTCGGCGAGGTCGAAGGAGTGGCTGACGAAGAGGAGAACGTAACAACCAGGGTGGTCCGCCGTAGAGTCCTTCTCAAGGTACAAAGTGGGCGGAAGAGGAGAGAAAAAAATGGTCTTCTGATGCAGCAAAACTWAAAAAAAAGATTGTCTTCAAGTCAACAAATCTTTAAATATCTTGAATTAATGTGGCTGTGTTTCTAATATCATTTCATACAAAAACTTCCTCTGTGTACATTTTGTAGATTTATTCAAGCTTTCACACATTTGATCCTTCCTTCTCTTTACTATTTGTCACCAGCTGCACACATTTCTTTGAACTTAAAAATAGTTACAAATGCTCACTGCAGATTATCAGAGGCTATAACTGTATTATCACAAACCTCATGATCTGTAATTATAAGAGCCAAAGAAATATTAGTGAGCACTGTAGATCCCAAACATCTGTCGTTCATCTGACTGTTTCCACTTARTGGAGAAGTAATTACAGTGAACAACCATCTTTCTCATGTAGTGGGGACATTATAAACAGAATGCTATGATTTACCACCCAATGAAAGGCTTTTGGAAATGAAAAAGTAGAAAAACATTATATGATGAAACTGAGATTGTCACTTATCTGGGACCTGGTCGGAGCAAATATCCAAGCACAAGAAACCAAACAAAAGAAACAAAAAACAGTCCACCACTCAGGTACTCAGCTCATCTGGCAAGATCTGATGCATTCCCAAGCCAGCCATGAGATATGATCTCTCCAGCAAGTCCTGAGTGTGCCCTGAGGTCTGCAAGTCCTGAATCTGTCCTGAAATCTGCACCCAATGAGACATGACTAAATCGCCTCCCTTGGAAGGAGTCTGGACAGATACAATACAGAATGAGCAAATCAAAGGAGCAGCAACCGTTATTGTAGCTGCGCTCCTCACCTTGACTCAGAGTGAGTCCCTCCTCTCTGCAGAAGAAGCTCATTTTAGCTAGCTGTACTTTTATTCTGACCCTTTTTGATCACGACCTGTTGCTCATCGCCACGACTGAGTGTTGGAATGTGAATTTACTGGTAAAGTCACAACTTCTCCAACACGCCAGACCTGCTCAGCATCCACGTCCTAATCTTAATCTCTTGGTATTTTTATTCTCTCTCATGAAGAAAACCCCTAAACATTTGAGCTCTACTAAGGTAGTACCTGATYCCCACCTTGAAGGTACCAATCCTCCATTTTCTGGTTGAGGACCATCACATCCAACATGGAGGTGCTGATCTTCATATTAGCTTCTTTGAATTCTGCTGCAAACCTGTGCAGTTCTAGACRATAAGATCAACAGGACATCATCAACAATATCTAACGCCACCACTTGGCTGTGGCTAGAAMCAGTAATAAAAAAGCAACTGCTGGAGTCCAACACACGAAAAGGAGTCTGTGTAAAGGCTGCTTTAGTGAACATGCTGTGGAGGCACATTTGGTTGAACAGTTAAAATCCTGCATCAACTACAACTATAAATCCTGCTACTGGAATCAAGTTTAAAATATAAATATCCATCTTAGTGTCAACATTTGCAGAGGTGTCTAAACTGTTTAGGATATTTTTTATAATTTAGATAATCCTAATATTTAAAAAAAACTGTTTTTTATGCTTTAGAAAAAATAAGTTCAGTATTTTTGTTTCTTTCGATGAAACGTTCTGAAAGTGTATGATGATTTTTACAGGGTGATGAGATTGAAGATCTCCCCGGGGAACAAGTGAGCGAGGAACACTTCACAGACGAACATGGAAACATTGTGACGAAAAAGGTCAGCAAAAAGAACAAAGCCATTGTTTCTTTTTATTTCTTTTTTTTATGCGTGTCACAAAACTCACCCTGCATCTCTCCTACAGAATGATTATCAAAGAAATAATCATTTATACTGTACGACCATTTTACTGTGGATTGTTTTTTTTAATCACCTCTTTATCTTTTCACTGGCCTCGCCTTCCTTTTTCTTTTCTTTTTTTTCTGTCACCCTCCTGTGTGCTGACGTGGAAACGTGTGTTAGATTGTGCGGAAGGTTGTGCGCAGAGGAAAGGGTTCAGGAGAGGAAGGGGTTCTGGAGATGAGCATGGAGGGTTCTCTGCAGGATGCCAACGAGCTGGAGGCCGATGCTGAGCAGTACATGAGCTACGCCATTCTGGGTCGGGACAGCAGCAAGGTGGGCTTCAGATCTGCGGGGCGGCTGTGGGCCTCACTGTCAGGTTCCCATGTTTAGCATATTTAGAATGTGTGCAGTGATGTTTGTTGGTCATTTGACATCYTTAGAAGTCATGGACAAGTGTCAGAACTAAATTACCACAGACCTGTTTACTTAAATGCTTGACTGAGCACTATCATTTGACTCCACTTAAATTCTTTTATCTATGTGTCTTTTTTGTTTGCACGCAAGAGGAAAAGAATTCATTCACGGATGTTTTTTTAAGATTCATCAATCCACCTGCACATTTTCGATTTTATCATCTTGGTCATCTCTGAGCCATTCATTGGTTGGTTCCTTAAAGTGTATCTTA